GGAAGAGAGAGAGAGAGAGAGAGAGAGGGAGGAGGGAGGGAGGTGGAGAACGCGGCGTCAAGGGCTGCGCCGATCGTTAGGGATGCCTTTCGACGCCGCCAGAGGCGGATGCCGTCGGCAGAAGCGTTGGTGGAAGCGAGTGAACGGAGAGGATGATGGTTGGATGCGAGTAAATATCGACACGATGACGAGACGGAGAGGAGAGGTGATTCGAGGTGGAGAGTTAAGTGGAAGAGGTGAGGACAAATGCGAATAGATGCGAATGGATGGGGGGAAGAGATGGTTAGATGCGATTGAATGCGAGGATAAACGAGTAGTAGAGAGAGAACAAAAGTAACTAGATGCGAATAAGCGCAGATATGAGCGGGCGTAGGACACTGGTAGTATAGATACGCGTTAATCTGGTGCACGGGAGAAGGGTGATAGGGGGTTAATGGAGTAATAAGATAGTAAGGAAACACTTTTGGCGTATGTATTCACCGGCATTGAACTAATTAAATTCGAGGCTTTTTACACGTGTCTTTTTAATTCCTCTCGAAATTAGTCCACCTTTTGAAGATGAAACAGAGGACACCGATGGATAAGCTTGAAAAGAATTCACGTTAAAAAATGTGTTCACGATGTCGCACGATTCGAACCACGTACGCTCCATCGAAACTTTCGTGAAATCAATAACCTAGAAACTTTGCCAAACGTTTACTCATATTTACATCGTTACTACTTACATACCGTCCAACTATCGTAAACACTTTTTAAACGCAAATTAAATCGTTCTATCTCTCCGCTGATCGTCGTAAATACGTCCTCGAATTATTTCTTGCATCGATCGAAAAAGTAAAGATTGTCGATCGCGTCAAGAAACCGATACCTCATTTTCTCAAAATTCTCGACCGTTCTTCCATCGATTCGCGATCCTACGTAAAATGAAAAGAGCGACGAAACTCGAAAACCGGAGTTCACCGTCTTCATCGTGATTTTACACCGTTCGTAATGTTATTCGCGTGTTGTTCGACGTGGCACGCGAGTTATAAGCGGGAAAAACACTGTCATTTCGCGAACTGTGCACGGCACGCATCGTGAAAAACTTTACGGTGCGTGAACTCGATGATTAAACGAGAAAAATAACATTGGTTCGCGTGCCGGATAATTTAACTCTTTCACGGTCGCGTCTTTTCTCGAGTTTTTCTCTATCGAATTTTCATTAAAAATTGGATAAAATGATCTCGTACGATTACATTATAGTAGGTGTAACGTAATTACATACAGATTTTATCTGAATATTAGTTTTTTTTTTTTTTTTTTTTTTTTTTTTTTTAAGGGAAGAAGTTGTTTGGTCCGAGATTTATTGCAGGATTAATAATGTTTACTCTTTTGTGCGCTCTTTAGAGAAGAGAATAGGTGTGAATTAGGGAGACTTGACCCTCGTCAACGAGCGATGGATAAAAAATTTCAAAGGTTTCGAAGGGAAGGGAACATTGAAAAGGGTTGCAGGAAGACCGATTGGGGATGTTTTTCGACCGGTCTCGTGACGCTGTTCGAGTAATCGGCCGAATTAAATTGCCGACCCCGTCTCCACACGCTCGCCAGAGGCATCGAGTTACTGGAAACCGAGCTTAAGGGATGAACCGTGAGGGTTAATTTCGTCGACGCCTGTGAAGTGCGGACGGATCGATGTTTATTCGATGACGAATCGAATTCAGGAATATTGAAAGGAATGTGTGTTTTTCATGCTGGAAAAATAGACGAGTTTACGATGGTTCTCCAAACGATAAGGAGGGATCAAGTTTATTTTTCTTGGGGATCATTTATCATCGATAATACACCTTTGGAAAAATTTCCAATCAAATTTAATTCGAGTTTTAAAGAATCTCGAGGAATCGTCAGAATTCTAATTTTTTTAATTACGATCGAACTCTTATTTCCTTATCCTCCTTCGAAATAATAAAATCAAAAAATTGTCACGAAACATTCTGCTCGATTCCAATATCATTCTCCAAGATTGCATATAGAATATTCAGGGAATTTACAAGATGTTTACGCTGTATGGATATATGCAAGGGGAGTCGTCTACGTCTGAGTCAGCGCTCTTTGTTCTCGTATCTAGGACGACTGGTAGACGGAGGGTGAGAAAGATATCTGCATACATACATACTTTCGAGCTTTCCCCGCTGCTACATTTATTCCGAAATGTTGCATTCGCACACGAGATCACCTCACCACCACCATCTTCTCTGAATTATATATAATAAACGTCACCAATAAAAATTCCTACACCCTCGATAAAAGCAGAATCTATTCCACGTATAGCGGTGATGCGATAAAGTAAAATTTCATTTATTTGTCAGGGGTGAATAATTTATGCAAATCAAAGCTCGTGCATTGTTACAAACGAACAATCATTCCCGAAATAACGTCAAAACTCTTGTTAATAAAAACAATCGTCGAATACATCTCGAGAGTCCAACGAAATTCTATTTATCCAAATCTATTGCCATTTCATTATCCGTTCGCACAATAAAGGCATAAAATTTAAATCAATATCTTCAACGTTACTTTCTATATCTAAGATTCACAGAATTGAATCCGCTCGAAGCTGGATGATTTAATCGAAACCGGTTACCGATAAATTCTAGCAATTATTTCCACGATAATTGGAGATCGACGTAAAGATTTTCAACGAGCCAAACAAACGTATACATACATACATACATATATATACACACGAATATATACGCTAATTGCGGATTTACGTTAAGAGAACAACGATGGATCGTTGTCCGTGAACGATTGTAAAAAGACACAAGGATCTCTGAAGACGTTTCGTGCACGTACTATACGCGTTTAACCGGCCGGTACTACGATCGTTTGCGTGGCCAACCTTATTTCCGTTCCACGATAAAGAATACCAAGGCTAACTCTTTCATTCAATCCAACGAGCATTGGTTGGATCCTACCTACTGAACGCTACACGGCTTCCCATTCTTCACGGTGTTTCTTCCACGCCTCATAATGGGAATCGCGTTATATCGCGGCTTTTGCAAATACAGCAGTGACTTTTCTTTATTTTCTCCTCTCGCCTTCTCGCCGAAGAAGATTACCCGCCGATTTCATCGATGATGGTAAATAAATACAGGGAAATATTTCTTCTTATTTTCAAGGCTTTCATGAGAATTCGTTTTGTGATTTTTTTTACTCTCCCCTTTTCTTTCTCTGTTTCGATATCGAGAACAGATTTTCATCTCCATGGATAGTAGTGCGAAGTAGTGAAAGGGCAATTCGTTCTGAAATTCGTTAAAAACACGCGACGATACAGCGTTCCTCATAGTTGACGAAAATTAAAAGTCTAATTAAAGAGAGCTTTGCGCGAATGGATGATTAATAAAGAGGGAATAAAAACTCTTGTATCTTCGAACAATCCTTAAAAACTTTACCATTAATTCAGATAATAGAAGAGAAACGAGAAATTTCCAAATCTCCTTGCTCATTTCAGAAAAACCCATCGAAACCAGCGAGAATAAAAAATAATATTTTACTTCCCTCGAACGATTGAAAAATTATCCAGAGAGAAATAGTAAACGCGCGAAGGTACGCAAGGCTGGAACGCGTGATAATCGGTATCGGATAGCTGGCGAGCACACGAATCGCGGCGAGAGCACGTAATGGGAATGAAGCGTGTTCTTAGCGAAAACGGTACCGAAACGCGGTTATGCGGTGGCCGGCTTCCGTTTCGAGCGCGTGTCCCGGCGCGGGGTTGAGTTTGAGGACGTTAAAACGAGCAGAGGGAAATGGTAACCGCGCTAAAATACACCGAGCTAACATTAGAAGAACGCTCTCTCGCTCGCTGGAATCCGAGATATTTTATTTTTACGATTATATTTTCCCTCGATCGCGTGATGAAAAATGCACGTGTGTAATAATATGGGTTGATACGGCGATTAGATTTAGATTGCGGTAAATCTGGCGAAGGAATGTATCGCGCAAAGTAAAGCTAAAAATCGCGTGGAAGAATCGTTGGTAAGATGTTATATAGGTGATAATTGGGGTGGCCGGTGTAACAAGTAGGCTGGCTGCCGTTCATTATTCTTAATCGTGGAAGGGGATTGTGAAACGGGGCGGTGGCGTAGGTCGAGGATGTTTCGAATCTTCTCTGGATCGACGATGAAACGTTTGATGCTGAGAGAGAGAGAGTTGAGAAGATTCGAGGAACAGAAGAAGAGTTTCGTAGGTAAAAAAAGAAGATGTTTCATCGAAGAATAATAATCTTCACTTTTCATTTGTGAGCGGTTTGTTAAGCGCGAGCATAATTTAGCCATCAATTCTAATACAATCTTACGTCATCAAATTGCACGTACGGCTACTAGACACGGATCGTGGGTGGATGGAGATCTATCGGTGAGACGATTAAACGGATGGAAAGATAAGTCTTGCGCGATAATTTCGAGAGAAATTGTGTCTTCGTTCGAGGAACAAGAGAATTGGGAGAGAGATGTTTATCGGAGAGACTTGCAGAGACTTTAGAGACTTTAGAAAAAGAGACGAGAACCTTGACAATGAATGCTCTGAAGCGTGCAAAAAACCAGAGGGGAAGAATCGCTGGAAGATGATTCAACGGCGAATCGAATCTATCCTCGCAATAGAGACTGACATTGTATCGTTTCGCTTGCTTAATTAACCTTCGATCGATGATGCAACGATGCTCGTTCGAGATTTATATTTTTACGATCCCGCGAATCTTAAAATGTTTCTAGTCGAATATAATATATCGTAATCCTTTTAATCAATTTCTCTGTTATATTATAATATTCCTCGCCAAAAGAAAAATTTTCTCTTGTCGATTACCAGGACAATATGACCTGTAACAATATGAAATTGCCAGTGGCTACGCCTCTGGAAATAAAAATAAAATTCAATTTCGACGCGTGTACGTTATTCCCATATAACATATATTTTCTAAAACTATCACGAGATTTTTCATATTTGTCTCGACTATTGTTTAATAAACAAAATTGAGTGATATCCAACCGTATAAAAAGACAATCAAAAATTCGTAATGGAGGGGTGATAATTTTCGTGCCGGATTCCACGGATAGATAAAGCGTACAACGCGTGCATTGTTCCGAGAAAAAATCGATCGGGAGTCATAGAATCGCAATCGAGGCGAATGCAAATGGTTCTCGGGCCGAGAAGCGCAATAATTTATGCTCGATGCCCATTTTTTTCCACGGCTGCTGCTTCGATTCGACGTAAACCACGAACGCCATCTCTTCGATCCCGGATGATTTATCTTACTTTCGATGTTTCCCCGGAAAAAAGGCCGATCTCTCTCTCTCTCTTTCTCTCTCTCTTCATCCGCTTTCGGCTTCAGTTTCATTAATCTCCGCCCGTGTTTCGATCCCGTTGCTTATCACCGATAACACGTGCGCACTGTTCCATCAGCCAGAAAGGAAACCACCGTGTGTCTCGTGAATTTTCATCGTCCGTGCTGAAACGGTATGAAAGTTCGCGTTACACGCTTTTGGAGAAGAGACGAGAGATTCGATCGATGTATACCGTTTCATCCGAATAATTTGGTTTACCTGTTTAAAGGAAGAAGAAAAAGGAAGAGTGTCAAATGGAGTCTGGATATCACAAATATCGAGGGTAATCGATGAGATTTCGATTTGAATTTTTCTGTATATATAATTCGCATTATCGAAGAAAAATCTTCGATAATTTTATCTCCATGGGCGAAGAGCGACCGAGGAGGAGGAGGAAAGGGGCAAAACCCTTCCATCACGATTCCTTTCTATTTATAACGTTATCACGAGGTGAGAAAGAATACAAAAAGGTCCTCGAAACGGAGCTATCCCAAAGAGACGTATCGTGGATTCGATCCGTGTCGTCGTCCTCGCGACACGACCGAAACAGAAAGAAAAACGAAACGAAAAGAAAAGTAATAATAAGGAAGGAAAGAAGACTACCAAACAGATCTGACGCGATCAGATCTCCCATTTAAAGCGTTTCCACGGTGAAATCCTCGAAAGGCTCGTTATATAGAAATTCTAGAAGCAATTCCGACACGTCGTTTCCCCGACTTTCGAGAAATTCGCCAACCAAACCGGCGAGCCATTCCCATACATCTATATTAATCCGTGTTTAACAGAGGCTTCTTGATTCTGCCATCCTTTCATTGCGGATCGTGCGATAAATCCGCTCAATTTGCATAAAGCCGTGGCAAAGAAATCGGTCGTTCGAGATACGAATCGAATGATAAATCATGCATTGGTAGACGTGAACCACCGGAAACCGGTGCCGCTCGATTCTTCTGTCCATCGCACCTCGGAGAGGAGAAGAAGGTAAATCGGATATGAAGCGGAGAAGAAGCTTCATGGGTGGCAGCCGCGACGAAAAACGGGACATTTTCACCGGCACGCGCGGTTTCTCGAGATCTCGTTGTAGGAACGTGTCCCTAATAGCTCGTCATCTTCGATAATCGATTCGAAATCGCAGAGGGCAATACGATGCTTGAATGCTCGTCTGGAAAGTGGATTTATCTTGGACGATGTGCGTATAATTTTTTAGGATTAAAAGAGAAAAAAAATAAATTGATTTTCCATTTAACGAATTATCGTGTCTCTTAAAATCCAACTCGAAACACTCGAATGATATTATACTCGATCGCGTTATATGTCCGAACCTTTGACAATTAAATATCGAGGATGCGTAGGACAGAGGAAACAGGAGTAAGCTCTTCCGTTTCTCGAACGAGTAAATCATCGCGTAGTACATCGTCGAGCGAGATAAGAAGGAGCCAAGGGTCGATCATCGAGTGCGGAAAAGATACGTGACGAATTCGTGCTCGCTCAGCACTTACGAACGCCCACGACGAATAAATTCGCCGATTGTCTGAAAACACGTGGCGCGTCCAACGTTCACGAGCACCCACGGCGTTGGAAAGATTAATACCGTCGCGAGGAAAGGCGAAAAAATTGTTGACCACGGTCGATTGGATGGTTCAAAGATCGTTCTCGAAGCGTTCATTCCGAGTAATCGAAGGGAGTCTGTCTCTGGTGAAAATATATACTTGTAACCGGTGTCTGGAAGAGCGTAGATGGGTTGAAATCGATGTAACGATACGTTGTATCATTACGTTGTAACGTGTTAATTTTTTGTGGGATATATATATTTCACTCGTAATAACGTTGTGTGCATTAATATTTCTACAATACTTATTTATTTATAATATACAAAGGAATTTCGTGCGTATTGGGATGGATTGGAAAATTAATTTTCTTAATTTCACGCGTGATTAAGTTTGCTTCCATTTTTTTTTTATACATTTCTTGATCGTTCGTATTTTTTTAATGATCGTTGAAGAGAAATTTCTTATAAGAGAGTAAGTATTTCAACAGCATCGGTGGTTCAGTGGTAGAATGCTCGCCTGCCACGCGGGCGGCCCGGGTTCGATTCCCGGCCGATGCAAACTAAATATTTTTGAACTTTTTTTAAATTATATATATTACAATAATATATAATACAAATCCTGGATCAAAAATTGAGACCGATTAAATAATTATAATATAATTGTTTCAACGATCATCGATGATGAATATTATCCATATTGAATTAATTATCAAATGCACGTGTTAATAAAAATATAAAAATTTGATTATTTGAAATTGCGGATTATTTAAAAATAAATTCGATTCACTCAATGATTTAATAATAGAATTTATCTATCTGTTAATACATTTGTGAGATTATTAAAAGATCGATTCTTAATAACTCAAAGTGCTACAACAGTAATCGACATTCTTTCCCAACTTTTGTATTATTTTATCCTAGAATCAATTTTCTAGAGAACAGATCAACACCTAGAACTGACCTAGAACGGTCAAAATAATGGAGACGATTGAACTAGTTTTAAAGAGTGAGAGACGCCAGCCACGAAAGGAGTTGATTGGATAATTAACCGTTTGGTGTAAATTAAAATTTATAGCACCGCGGTGAGACCAAAAGCGGGCCGATCATCGGTAATCCAGGAACCGGTGTTGCGTACTTTCTATGATACGTCCAAACTTTTCCTCGAAATCCTCGTTTGCCGCGTGTGAAAGTGCAAGATCTTTCAGATACCACCATCGTTTGTCCATTTTCGATATATCGTACGAACGATCGCAAACGAATCGAAAGTCACTATATACGATACCATAGATAGCCTCGAATTCATAATTTTCTTCGATTCACCCAGATTTCTACGGTGTTATATACAAAACTAAAAGGATTCCATACCCAACCGAGTCTAAAAAATAAATTCTACCCGAATTAACCAAATACGACACGATTCCAACGATATTGCAACGCGTTAGAGTTAACAAAGTCATCGCCGAGCATCAATAAAAATCATCTCCACAGCACACGCTGTGCACCCCTTGCGGTCTGCAACCCGTTGTGGCCGCCATCCGAAGGCGGGCGCCGCCTGACTCGAAGGATTCGCTCCTCGCAAAAAAGCACCAATCTTCCGTTCTTTGCGAACGGAACGACGCGAGGAATCCGAGCAAAACCTAACCCCCCATGAATCCACGCTATTTTTCCAATCCGCACCGCGCATCAAAATTAAATACCCGGTTTTACGCGAAACGGGAGAAGAAAAAAATGCAAAACCTCGTCGTCGTGGATGGAAATCCGGTTACGAGTTTACTTAATGGTCGCGTGGAGCGTTCCAACTACTCCACGGGATTCGCCGTGACGAAATGACGGAGGGGTTGGGGAGAGTTGGTTTCGTCGAAACGGCCACGGTAAATCGTCGTCGCCACGCTCTCCTTCGAGATGATCCACGAACGATCGGTGGAGAGGTTGGAAAAATAACGACACGGTAATCGAGAGCGGCAACTCCTCGAAAGATGGAGCGATACACCGCGAGACACCCCGGGGCGACTGCCTTTTAATGGGCCATTAACGATCGTTTTGTTAGCTACTCGTTGACCGAGGATCGGCCGCGACACCTCGTCAATAGGCGATAAGTTGACAAGGATTGATATTGGAGAGATCGGGACACGAGCGTTCCTCGAGCTACTACACCTTGATTACGAGGAGAAGATTACGGGAAGAGATGGAGCTTTCCGTGGAACGTGCTCTGAGGATTCGTTTATACGCGGGAATGAATGCATTTCCAATTTTCTTGTTTTTTAGTTTTCTATTCATTTTCGAACGAAATTGTTGCGAATGAATCTGCTGTTTCGCTACCAGGTTTCTTAATTGGAGTCACGGTCGATGGGTAGATCGAGAGTAGATTGAAGAACAATTTTATAAATTAATGACGTAGGGAGTAAGTTGGAGCGAAAATTGGTATTGGGTGTTATTAGAGATGAAACGTTTGATCGGCGTATTGAAGCGAAGATCTACAATCTTGTGTAACATGGTAACTTTTTCCATTGCTTGCTGGTGTACCATTTTGAAGGAAAAGTACGAACCACGAGAAAGTGTGCTCAATTCAATTGAAACGTGTTTTTTCTAGGAAAAAAACATTCTACGTTGTAACTTCTTAAATGTTTTCTAAACTTTTCTTTTAAAATTTCCTTTCTATCGTATTTATCGTATAATAGAATTAAAATGATGATGGGCCTCGTCTTTGATACTCGAATATTATACACGCAAAGATCACGATCCTGGCAAAGAGAATAATCGGTATCGGTAACTCGAAGAGGAAGAGAACTGGTCCCGCGCATAGATCCCGTGTAAAAATGAAAGGAAACGCGATCTCTGACAATAACAAACTGGCAGGACCACTTATATGGGAATGCAATCGAGTACCAGGCGGCGGTACCTTATCACTGTAACGATAAGAACGAAGACAAATAAGCTCTGTGTACCATCTTCGCGAAAGAAAATAGTCGAACGGCAAATTCATAATTTCGACGTCCGCCAATTTCCGGTAAAATTTCTTCAACTAATTCTTCCATTAATTCGGTCGTTTAATTATGCATTGTTCGTAAACAGAAAATTGCATACGTTAATTTTTTTTCAGGCGAATTTTTCGTGATCGTGGTGCAAGGTTGATGAATCTTCTTGGTATAATAACGAAGCAGAGAGAACGAAGGAAGTGGAGGACTGTGGCGGAAATGCTCGAAATCGTGGAACCGTTACACCGGTCATTTCGCATGAATACGAAATAATTTCGTAACAATTTCGATTCACGTATGAATACCAATGTTGTATTCGTATCATTAATGAAAATAAAATAATCGTGCGATTATTTTAACGAAGTTGAAAAACGTAAAGATGAAATCCGATGAAATGTGATTTTTATTGCGAGAAGAGATTGGAATGCTAATCTTTTACGAGTTGTAACTTTAATAATCCATCTGTAAATCAATTTTTACATTTATTATATATATATATATATATATATATATATGTTTCTTATATATTCATCTTATCTCTTTATCTTAAAGCTGTTCGAGATAAATTTCATTGATTATTCAAAAATTAGGAGAATTTAATTATATCCTTCAACTGGTATACCGAAGAAATTTCAAGAAAAAGCGATATACTTGCGATAAAATAATCACACCTCAACGCTGTCTCAACAAGTGACAATCGAGACACTTTGTTGGAAAAAAGGATCGGGTAAACAAGGGTGGTGCTTCGTTCCACAATCGTGACTCAAAGTTAGAACAACCTAAGGTTGGTGGATACTTGTATCAATATTGAACACCATATATAATATGACTCGCCGATATCGAGTCAATTAAGCCTTTGATAAGCGAGACCATCCGAGTTAATGAACTCTAACGAGAAACATCCTTTTTCATGGGGAAAAAAAAAGAAGAAGAAGAAGAAGAAGAAACCGAGCAAGAAGATTTAATTAAAAAGATCATGAGAAAGGAAGGAAATTAATAAATTTCCTTAAGAATATTCGTCCAAGGTAAATTCGATGGAAGGAATTGAAAGAGGAGAAGAGAGGCAGAAACAGGTTACGATGATTATTTCGTTCGTTGCGTGTACCGTTCCACGGTTTAATATTCGTTGTAAGATTATGCTCAACCCTCTAAGAATCACCAACACCGACGATGATCAGATTGAAATTCATTAGGATTCGAGCGATGCATCGTGCTACGAACATTGCACACGTGGATATATTTGACAAACGGTACTCCACGGGTTGCAGGAAGTTAGAAATCGTGCCGCCTTGTACATTGCGTTTCATTTTTTGGGTTACGTCCGTGATAATATGTACGTTGGAAACGTGTTCCTTGTGTTGATAAAGCGTTTTGAGCGAAGAAAAAAACAGATATTTCAAATATTTGAAACGTTGGATATTATTATTTTATTCCAAGCGTTCAATGTTATTTTTAGGAATCTTTTTAAGTAAGTAAAAGTTTGATCGTTGGAATAATTTAGAGGGAAAAATAGAAAATAACTTTTTCGTTTCGGCGTAAAATGTAAAAATATGTACGTGAAAGGATTCGATGAAAACATTTTCCACGCTTTCTTCTGGAAAAGGAAGAGCGAACGAATTTTTAACTTAATGTCATGCGCGTGTTGTGTAACAAGACTTAGCACTTTATCATCGTGCATGCACACATTTGAAAAACAGCTTGCACGCAGGAAAAATGTATTTACACGAATTTTACATTCCTTTCTTATCCTAATGAAACTTTTTACTTCCGCCGTTTATTCGTAGCTCACAACGCGACACAACTCGTTAATTAAATTACGTAGTCGTTTAACGATAGAAAGAGAAGGAAACGGAAAAACGACGAAATTTCTTTAATCTCAAAAATTCATTGGAAATAAAAAAATATTCGAAAACATCCAACCACCAAAAAGGACTCGAACTAATCGAAATTCTATCGACGATGAATATAAAAATAATAAAGAAAAAAAGAGAATATATTAAACATGAAAAATATATAGAAACATGCATTCTCCAAAAAAGGAGGACTCGAATTATTCGAAAGCGGATAGATCAAAAGAAAATGCCGATTAGCGATCGGAAATGGATAGTTTCACTTCGATTCGAAAATGCGGAGGGAAAGAGGGAAAAAAGAGAGAGAGAAAGAAAAAAAGGAAAGAAAAGAATAACGCAAACGGTAGAGTTTAAATTTCCGCGTGTTATAGGTCAGCATTAATGATTTATGCGTTTACGATTCACTACTTAGGCGGCAGTCATCGATTTCCTACGACGCGTTTCGAAACAATTATAAAATAAAGAGAAAGCGTGTTGATGCGCGGGTACGTACGCGAGACCGTAAATTCGTGGCCGTACGTTTCATTTGATTCGAAGGCAAAACATTTATACGAGTGGACGAGAAACTGGCGCGTCGATTCGCGCGTCGTTTCCATAGGGGATTTACGGACTGCGGAAAACGAGGCTTCAATGCCGGCGAAAGTAACATGCGCGAACGTTTCAAAATCACGATTCCCTCGAATGGTTAACCG